TGCAAAGCATACTTACAAGAGGCGAAGTGGTATTCAATTGAATACACACCAACCCTAGAAGAGTATATGGACAATGCATGGATTTCAATATCAGCTCATACAATACTGGTACATGGTTTTTTCACAGTTTCTAATCGGATAGAGGAGGAGTCGCTTAAATACTTGGAGAAATATCACTCTATAATTCGCTGGTCGTCGATGATTTTACGCCTTGCAGATGATTTAGGAACTTCATCGGTACGTATGCAGCAGATCAAGATTTTGGGTATAATTTTCAATTCACCTGCTCATATGGTGTGGTGTAACGCTTTTCATTTTTGTTTGTGTTATTAAGATTTGGAGTTTCATCTTAAAATGTCAATTTTGTTAAAAGAAGTAACACAATCTCTTATATGTTGGTCTATATTTCGATATTTAACCGATATGGAATTTATCCCTTAACATGCCCCGTAAGATGGTGGTTCGTTTGAGCCATTTTTTTAAGTCATAATCAAATTGAATTACTCGTTAGAACTTAAAGTTCTCTGATATAATATTAAGATTTGTGGGTACATCTTATAAGTTCAACATTATTAATAGGAGTAGTCAAACCCCTTATATGTTGTTCTATATTTCGATATTTAACCGATATGGAATTTATCTGTTAACATGTGTTTCCTTGCCAACCTAGCATTACTCCAGTCATTTTTTTTATTTCCAGCTCACAGTTTATTCTTTTTTATCCTTTCAGCTAACAGATTTTTATCCATTTTCTGGAAACCAGGATGAGTTAAAGAGAGGTGACACTCCTAAGTCAATGCAATGTTACATGAAAGAAACTGGTGCTTCCGAGGACGATGCACGCAAACACATACATTTTCTGATATCCGAGACATGGAAAAAAATGAACAAGGATGGAGATGCAGATTGTCCGTTCTCACAAACTTTTATTGAAAGTGCAAAGAATATTAGTAGAATGTCACAATACATGTACCAGTATGGAGATGGCCATGGCATGTTAAATTCTGAAACTAAGGATCGCATCTCGGCTTTAGTCTTTGAGCCGATCCCCTTGGCATAGGGTTTTATATTACACAATGAAGATTCCCACATTTATACACATACATATATGTTAAAGACTAGTCGTGAGCTATGTTAAATAAAAGTACACGTGTATAATAAATATGATCACTATGTTCATATATCTTCGTTGTAGCACGTGTTATCTATGATTTATAAGATGATATTTTCATGTTCATAAGTATTATTTTTATTTTTTATTTTTTTGCAAAGTACAATGTTAAAGTTGAAACCCGTGGAATTCTTGATATATGTAGGAGAATAGATTAAACGTTCATCCATGATGGGTAAAAAAAAAACTTATCGATGGTAAGACACGCAAGACCAATTTGGTGTGGAAGCCAGGCGTTCATGAAATCTTCAATTTCATTGATTGAATTTTACACAACTTGCTACAACACACTATATATTATTTTCGATTTTATGCTGCAAGTGAAGGATAGTTAACAAGTGATATAATAGTGAATAAAGTGTGAATAAATATAATTGGTAGCCTTAGACATACAAAAAAAAACTTCAAATATAAATTTTATTATACGTTAGAAAATCTTATTGATCATTTTTAGGTAATCCCAATATGTGTTATATAAGTTGCATTGAATGTATTCTGATTGAACTTCGCTTCCTGCCCACAATTTGAGTCAAAAGGCCTCTTGCAATTTTAAAAACAGCTTTGAAAACAAACTAATCAAAGTATATAAGCACCGCCATATATTGTTAAGAGATAAAATTCCACATCGAACAAAAATGAAAATAAAGACCGACTTTTAAAGGTTTGGGTGACTCTTTTTATCATGGTTGACATTTTAAGATAAAATCATAAATCTTAACATATATAGTCGTAATATCAATCCCACACACTATCTTATTGCACTATACACAATTTTTAGCCGATTCCCCTGGCATTGGGTTGGAAATTACACAATAAAAATTCATACTTATATATACACACATCCGTATATGTTGCAGACTAGTCCTGAGCCACGTTGAATAGTATAATAAATATAATCACTATGTTCTTATGCTCCTGTTTGGCATCCATTTTAATCTCATACTCATTCTCATTTTTTTCTTTCTTCATTTCAACCACACATTCTCCCAATAAAATAATATTACACACAAATCTATAACTTATAATTTTTCTACCACACATTCTCCCATCAATCACTATTCCAAAAATTCTATTCTCCAAAAAATGGGTATCAAACACCCTCTATATCTTGCTTGTAGCACGTGTTATCTATGATTATAAGATGAGGTTTACATTTTCCTCGAGTATTAAAAGATTAAAAGTTCGACCATGATGGTTAAACAGAACTCATCAATAGTAAGGCACGCAAAATTTCAGATTTAAAAGTTTACACTATGGTAACCAAAAAAGATGATAATATTTCCTGATCATACAACATTTCTGGGCTGCAAACCAAGAAACTTACAAGTTCCAAGCAAAATAATTCTGTAGAAAAAGTGCATGGCAAAGAGAAACTATTTGAGAAGATCCACTCAAAACCTTTTGAGTCGTCAGTTTATCCTCCAAGTAGAATAAGGCATTCTATTGATAAATAACTCAGTGACATTTATGGCAAAACACAATTCCCTTCAGGTAAAGAACCAAAAAGTGGAGATTTGCCATCAGGAACGTTCATCAGAAGCTTTCTTATAGTACCTTCGTGAGAGAGCAATGAGTCAATTCAGCTTACGTATTTGCAAAAGCAATCTAACCAATTTCTTCAATAAAGAACCTAACCATTGCGCTCTGATAATGGAGTTCTTTGTTTGATATATTCTTCACCTGCTTTTCTTGAGGGAGAACATGTGATTTCAACATTCATTGCCAGCACACTTTTTTCCTCAGAAAGTTGCATCATCTTCCCCAGCATTCCCATCAGTTTAACATCTTTACAGCAAAATGCACCAATTTGTCCGTAAATTCCTTCCATTTGTGCAAGTAAATCCTCCCTATCAACAGATGCTTTCATGATGACTTCAAGCAAAGTTTCCTTATGGGACTTGAGATCCTTAATTAGAACCTCAAGGCGCTCTTTCTCATCCCCAAGTTGACCTTTCAGCTCTTCTGTTTCTGATTTCTTCTCTTGCAATAAAACTTCAAGCTGCAAGGCCTCTTGCTTTGAATTAATAAATCGTTTTTCTTGAAATTCCAGTTTCTGGAGTAAATAGTTTGCTTCTTTCTGCAGGTTGTCAATTATCTTGTTTCTCTCTTCAATCTCTAGAATTTGCTGATCCTCAGCTCTCCGTAAATCTTCATCAAGCTTATTTTCCTTTTCGGCGAAAGAGATCAGGGCATTACTAAAGTTTTCTTCCAAAGATTCAGCATGTTTCTGAAGATTTTGTATGCTCTGATCTTTCTCTTTCATAATCAATGATACTGTCTCCTCCTTCTGCACAAGAGCTTTATGAGCATCCAATCCAGCAAGAAGTACAACTTCGCTTTCAGCCAACGCTTGCTCTAGTCGAGCAATCTCTTTCTGAAGACTTTCTATGATGCAGTTCCTATCTTCTGCAATTTGTAAATAATTATTCTTCTCTTGCTTGAGTGTTTCTGCAGCCTCTGTTTTGGCTATAATTTCCAATAGCAGGATACGAATCTGTTCCTGCAAATTGCCAATTTGGGCATCCTTGTCTTTCACAATGCCAATAAGGCAGGCATTATTTTGCTTATGAGCTTCATGGTCTTCACGAAGCACTAGTTTCAGATTTTCTGCTACAGATTGCAACTTCTGCAACTCAATCTCGGTTTTCTCAACTTCGCCAATTTTCTTTGCCAGCTCAGTATTTACTATTTCTAAAGCTTCATGAATATGTCTACCGTGCTCTGTTAGGGTATTTTCCATGTGTATAACTTGTTCTTCAAAATGATATCGACATTCAGATAATTCATCAAGAATATCTTTATGCTTTCCAAGTTTTTTCCCCAAGAGATTCACCTTCTGTTTTAAAAAATCTACAGACTCGACCTTCTCTAGTAAAACTGCTATTTCGTTATCTCTCTGCTTCAAATTGGCATGAACTTTATGTAGCTCCCCCTTTTTTACTTTCAATTGCTGTGATAGAAGCATGTCCTTCTCTTCACTTCGTTTGATACACAACTCCAGCTTAGCATTTTCATCATGCAGCTTCGAACAAGAAACATCGAATTCTGATTTCAACACCAAGATCATTATATAATTCTCCTCATTCTGTACCTCCAACATACTGTGGCAATCTTCCAACTCCTTGCTGAGTTCTCTTATTTTTTTACTTTTACCATCTGATTTCGAAATGCAGTATTTCAAATCCCCCATCAGTTTTTCTATCTGATTACTCCATTCAGCTTCCTTTTCTTTGAGGTTTAAAGCACATATGCTATGCAACTGCTCCAAATTTTGAAGTTCGTGTTGAAATTTTTTGAATGAAGAAGACGCAGCTGTATTATGGAGCTGAGCCTCTTGAATTTGTTCAATGGACCCCAGCAGTTCTTGGTTTTCTTGCTCTAGCTGTGCAGTTCTGTATTTCATCTCATCATTAAGTATCTCTTTTGCTCTTAGCAAGTTGTGTAGCTCTCCAATTTCCTCATCCCTTTTAATGGTCGACTGCTCAATCTTTAGTTTTGCTTCTTGACACTCCAGGAAGACATTTTCAAAACTTGATCTGCATTCAGACACCAAAGTTTCAAGAGCTTTTCTTGTGTTTTCTTCATGAACCAAGGCCTGATTACTCATCCTCAACCGAGTCTCTAAGCTTTCTGATAATAGAGTCTGAGAATCCAAACTAGCTTGCAACGAACCAATTTCTTGAAGAAGTGCAGATTTATCCTGCTCCCGCTCCACCTTACGAGTCTGGAACTGATCTTGAAGCTTCCTGTGTGCTTCTTCAAGGTGTAAAAATTGTTCATTTTTCCATTTCAACTGATCTTGAGCAATCCTGCATTCTTCTTCCAGTTTAAGTATATATTCATCTCTCTCTTTCAGGTAAATAGATCTCTCTCTCTTTTGTGGTTTAACTGATAGAAGCCTCTTAAGACCAGAAATTTCTTCATCACTAAGACATATTTTTCTCTCCAGATCCTGGATTCTTGCTGATGTTTCATCTAAAGCCAACACCAAATCTCTGTTTTCACCCTCCAATTTTAGAATTTTCTCACCATGATCTACTCGAACCTTTTCATTTGCAAAAGTAAGCTGCTGAAGATTCAAGTCCTTTTGGTGCAAACTGGAATTGAGTTGCTCATATAGTTGCCTAACCTCGCAAATTTCCTCAGACCTGGCATTTAGTTCCCGGCCCTGTCTTTCTATCTCGAACTTCGCCTCTTGAAATTTCGCTAATTGTTCAATATAAGATTTCCTTAATCTATCAGTCAGATCTGCTTTGGCTCGGCATTCTTCTCTGAGCTTTTTCACCTCTACTTTAACTCCATCTAGTTCATCATAAACTCTATCCAGTTCCATGGCTTTAAATTATGAATCAGAGGTTCACTGGTGCACATGAGGGAAAGTGAATACAGCAATTAACTAAATGTAGCAAAATTATCAGGATAAAAATAACCGAAACTGAAGCTATCATAAAAACCGTAATAGCTTGTCAAAGTCGATAAGCCTGTTGATCTGAAAATGAACTTTTGTTATTCGTTATTCAATCTCCAGTTTCTTTTCACATCCTCTTCAATTTTTCTCCCTTTTTGTTCTCGTTAAAGTTCTATATCTTGTTTCCCTGAGTTTATCAACAACATTGAGACCAATTTAATTACCCAAAAAATTTTGAAAAGGCAAGTGAAAACAAGAATCGAGAATACAAAAACTTGGGTCTTTAGAAAATGCTTATATAAAACCCAATAGAAAACAAGACTGGAAAAATACTAATCCATCAAAAAATGAAATCAGAAATTCATCTATACGTTAATGCGTGTGTGGACGTAACCGAATGTCAATATTCAAACCCTAAAATCAAGAAGATCTATGAATTGAAACGCAAAATTGTCCAATAGATAATTGAATCACCTTCTCCTTCGACGAATTGATTGCATTAGCTGCTCGTTTCGATCTTGAAGATGAGAGCGAGAGGCCGCAGAATATGGAGCGACGTCTTTGAGCGGGAGGAGGCCTTCAAAAATAATTTGAAATCGGAGAGGTAAAACCTTTCCAAACGGCTATTACTTTTGAGTTGTGTTTGGTAACGGGAATGGGGAAAGGGGAAGGTCAATTGGAAAGCAAATGGACAAAAATGCCCCCCTCTGGCGTCACTTGCTAGTTTGAGATCATAAATTCATGATAGGATATAATGGGAACACTCCATCTTTTTGCCCATGTTTGAATCTGATTTTTTTCGGATAAATAAATTTTGTATTAGTGATTCTTTTTAAAAATGTGTTATTAAAAATTAGAAAAAAAAAATGAATTTACGTATAAAATTGTTTTATGGAAGAATGTGTAGTTAAAAATAAATTTTGAATTTTTTGTCTGATTCTTTTGGATTAAAATGTGAAATCTAGGAGTCGAGAAGCATAGCATAAGAGTTTTAAATATTTCTTTTCATGATTATCAAAGTCTAAGAGTGCTTGATTCTCATGATTCTAGCAAGCACTGTAAACATAATTTATAATACTTTTTGTAGACGAGAGTTTGAGAAAATAGGGAAAAACAATGGGCGGAAAGTAAAATGAGAGCGAAAAGAACGAAAAGATTAGAGGTATAAGAGAGGAATGCATGTGATCATGGTTGGAGTTGCACACATAATTAGATTCTTATATTTTATTTTTTTTTTATTGAAACTATCTGATTTTTTGTTTATTCTTTAAACATTATTTTCACGTGCAGTGTCTACTACTTTAAATGGTAAAAATAAAAATCTCGTCTTCTAAAAGACATGTGTTAGGAAATTGAATGATGCAATGAAAACGAAATAACGATCTGGAAAAGTAACTTATTGGGAACTTGCTCCAATATTATTTATACACCTAATATGTATTGACCTCAAGATCTAATTAGGCTAAGCTGTCAACAATCTTTTCCCAACTCCACGTCCATCTATGTATTATCTGCACATTGACGCTCTTATCATCAGAAGCACTAGGAGGTTCAGAAATCAGAGTGACATTTTTTCACCTAGCTTAGAGGTTCCCTAATGGGCGTACTACCCCCAATGAGTACTTCTCTATAACTGGTGCTTTTTGCTCGGCTTCACACACATGGAGCGTGGTTTTGCCATATGCTATACAACTCTAACAAGGTGCTCGTGGTTCTTACAAAACTCCAATGACGCTCATTGACGAATTTGTAAATTGGTTGAATTTCTATTTAATTTATTATAAATATTTTTATCTTAGGTAAACTTTAGAATTGGAGGAAGTCACAAGTTTTGGAAGTGAAAATCAACTTATAAATAGTTTGGGAAGTGATTTACACAATTCTGAATCTTTTGGAAGACCAATTTAAAATGATTGTGGAGGTTCGAGGACCAACATAAAAGCTTTTGGAAGTTATGGTGTCAATATTGATGATTTGAAAAAAAATGACCAAAATCATATGAAAAACTTGAAGTAAGTACCAAATTGCAAAAACCTAAAAGTTGCAGGGGTGACCACAGTTTAATGAGGGCACAATTGTCCACCCAATTGTTTTCCATTAAATAGAATTTAAATATATAGAAGCCACAATTTTTAATAACTAGATTATGCCCTTGTTTGAGCTTCATTTAAAAAAAAAAAAATCATTTTTTTTTAAAATACTCAATTTCAACCAAACTTTCTTCAATAAAATAGTATTACACGTAAATCGAAATTTTTTTTTTCATTTTTAATCATACATTCTCCAAAAACTACTATTTAAAAATGCATTTTTTCTATCAAATTAGGGATCAAACAAGAACTATATTTTAATTGAATGAAATGTTCATAACTTTTACAAATTATCATTCTTTTGTCTCAATTTTTTCAATCGCGTTCTTGTTCTCATATTAACTGAAATTACTGTTGGTTATGGGTTTAGTCCAATTAGAAAAGATTCCAATTCCTTTTCTATTTCACAGCTATTGCAAGTCCAAGTTCAAAGCCCAACTAAGTGTCACTTTCCCTTCAAGTCCTCACTTCTTCCAAATAATGCAAGTTAATCCTTGATACAAATTTATTTGTGTAGCCAGTGTTCTCTTTATTTCAATTCAAGCCCTTTAATTTCTCTTTATGTGAATATTAGTCTTCGAACTTCCATCCAATGGCTAATTTGTCCTTCATCTTTTTCTAATTGCTTCAAACGAGTCCACTAAAAACAAAAGAAATATATCTCAAGTTAAGTAGAATTTAACACTTATACGACATTAAATCTTCATAATTTGACCCAAATAAGTACACAAAATGCACTTGTCACATTTGCCTTGTTCTCCTCCTATTTAGAGGGAAAGCTTCTTCCATCTCAAAGATAAATATGAGTCCAGATATAAGTGAATTAAATGTTTGAAGTGGTTTTTTTTCCTTATTGTGTTGGTAAAGACTGATTATTAGCAAATTTTATCAAATTAATGGAATTTGAATTTAGAATGGAAAGCCATAATTTGAATAACACCATATATATGGGATGAATGAAAGAGAACTACTTCATGTACTAGTTGTTCTCCAGTCCTAGACTTTGCCCCTATTTGATTGAGATTATTATAAATTCTAGTTTGAAATGGGAATTTGAATTAAGAAACGCCGTCCAAAATTTAGAATGCTTCAAGACAGGACAACACGTCCTTCGCGTGACCATCAATTACCAACTGTATCTTTGTGCCTTGTATTCGACTCGCTGAATACTTCAACGTAATTCAAGGGCAAAACGGTATTTTGATCAACTAATGGTTTGATGAATTTGGAAGAAAGTTGTCTTAGGGCCTGTTTGATTGCAAATGTGGAAAATGGGTGGAAAAAAAATGTTTTACAGGGAATTGTAATTAATTGTATTTAATTGGTATAATTTTCCACCTGAAAAATGTTGAAAGTTTAGTGTCCGTTTGACTTCGTTTTTCATGAAAATTGTCCATTAAAGTGACATTTTTTTCTACCATTGAGTTTAAAATTTGTTCTACTTGCCAAAAAATTAAAAAAAAAAATTTGTTTTTACAAAAATTACTATACCGAATATCATTCATTTGGCTTTATTTTGCATGAAAATTGTTAATAAACGTGATAAATGTTTTTACTATTGTGTTTAAAAAATTTTATCATTGCCAAAAAAAATAAAAGAAAAGAAAAACAAAATGAAAAAAAAAAAAAGAGAACCTATAAATTAAATTCTCGCCAAAACATAAGGAAATCCAATTCACCAATTGCAGGGAAAATAGACGCGTCACATTGCGGCGTAGAAAATGAATTTCAGGTTGAATGTTGACAATCAAACATGCTTTTACATTTCCATGGAAAAGGCATGGTATCAAACAGGCCATTAGTGTCATAAGCTGTCTTCCAGTAAAACTTATTTAATTTATTGAGGATCCCATTTTTTGTTCACAAAAAAACGATTTTAGACCGAGAAAGTGGGATCAGACAAGCATTTTATGGTTTTGCTTTTTAGTTGAGAAGACTTATTTGAAGCAAGGGTCCATTTGATTGCAAGAATGAAAAATGTGTGGAAAGAAAACGAATTTCAGGAAAAATAATTGCTTAGAACTTTTTTTCTCGAGAATTGTCAATTAATTATGTTTGATTAGTATAATTTTCCACCAGAAAAATTTTGAAATTTTGAATCTTTTGGTATTCGTTTGACTTTGTTTTCCATGGATATTGTCAATTAAAGGAAAAAATTTACAATTGGGGATATAATTTGTTTCTATTGCCAAGAAAAAAAAAGTTGGAAAACCATTTTCCCACCAAAGTGGTAAGAAAACCAATTCAATGAAAATCTGGAACAAGGGGTCACGTGGGGGGTTGGGGGGAAAATGTTTTGCCAAGAAAAATTGTCTATCAAACAAGAAAAATGTTGGAAAGTAAAGATCAAACAGGGCCTAAATGCAAAAGTGGATGATAATATTGCCATTAATATTGTGAAATAAGAAGTATGAAAGTGTCTGCAAAAGGAAGAATATTAAGTGTGGAACCATGAACTGCAAAACCTTGAACAAAGAATAAATTGCCATTTATAAAGAAACCGATATACAGTAGGATCTAACACGCCATCAAAAGAAGTCAATCGTAGAGAGTTTGCAAAAAAAAGAAACTGAAAACAAAAATCTACATACTCTTCTTATGGTTATGTCTTCAACTAACCTCTTTTACGAAGATCATATCAATCAGATATGTGAGTCTCTTTAAACTATGCTAGACATGCTCGAATGACCTATTTCGTCTTTCTCTTAATTTATCCGTTGGAGCATTAACAATTTGGATTACTTTTAATTTCATTGTTCGAACATATGATGAGTAAATATTTGAAAACTGTTATGTTCAAACTTAGTGCATATGGAATTGTTGGGAGGAGTTCAC